ACATATATAAATTTAAATGTGCACATTTGAATGTACACATTTATTTATCAAAGTGCACATTTCTATTCAATAAAGTGCATATTATTATGAGAGTAATTTGATTACTTTAAATTTATTAATTATTTTACCCATATCCGTTCACAAAATTTTCAATATGTAGATCCTTGTTATCAACTTTGAATCTTCCAATTCTCTTTGTCCAAAATTTCTTCATTTTTAGGTCATAATGATTTGGTGGAAACAAGTGATTTGGAATGATGAATGCTTTGATTATGTACTTTGTTGGTGGACTTCTAGAGCATTAGATTATTTGTTATAGTAATATATTGCTTACCGTGGATACTATCGTAAAAACCTCTATAAAGTAGTACTTGACAAATTAATAACTTCTATGAAATAATAAAATTCACAATCCCGAATCGAGCTAACGCGCTAAATTAATAATTTTGATAAAATAATAAAACAATAATTTTTTTTGAAAATCTTACATAACCCTATGGTCCCAATCATTTTATAAATTAATAATTCACTAAAATTGCATATCATATTTTCCTAATATACGAGTCGATTGTTGTTTATTTTTTCAGAAACCCATTACTGTAATTGTTTTTTGGTCCATATGATATATTCTTGACTATACTCATATAATACTTTACATATTTCATTATTCATGATTGATTTATGAACACCTTTTAAATGGGAAGTCAAAGTTTAACAATGAGATAGGTAAGAAGAATTTATAGTTGTTTATTATAAAAAGACTTCCTTGTCATTTATATAAATAATATATTAATCTGATTCATTGTATGTATTTAATAAAGTTTAAATGCAAAATGCACCTGTGAACTTTACTTGGCTAGTGACTTGCCCCCTAAACTATCAATTGTAGCGATTTATACTTAAAATATGGTGATGTGATGAATTTGTTCTAATTAAATGACCAGCTACCAAAATTGCCCATATCACTCCTTCCCTTCTCCTCTAACCCCACTGGTAACCTTCCTCCTCCTTTTGCAAACCATACTACCAAATTGTTATCCATTCCATCCTCTATATTAAACTCTCTCATGGATTATTCTTCACCTTTTCCACCCAAATTAACCTCTTCAAGCCCTTGATATTACAAACCTATCATCACCTTCCTCCCTTGAGTGCCTTCTCTTTGAATCTTCATCATTTATCAAGTTCCAAAATCACAACCCACTTCAAAATTACCAACCTTCATTGCTACTAGCCAATCTCCCGACACTTTTTGATTCAAGAGGCCCAAATCCCATCATTGCTCATCCTTTTAATTTTTATAATCGTCTATGTTGGGTGTTTTTATTTTTATTTGCTGCATATTGAAGTTGGACTTAGTGTGTGATTGGTTCTACATATGATAAGATTGTGTTATGGGTTTTGCTACTTTAATGTTGGCGTGGATTTATGAGGTGTACCTTCAATTTTTTGCATAGGTTATTGATGGGTTTCTAGCCTTGATGCAAAGTTTTTGTTTTGCTCTAGTTTTATTTAATCTAGTCTTGACTTTTTCTTCATCTATTATGGTGGTTCAATGGTAGGTATTTTGGTGTAACGATATCGGCAAGAGGTGTAAGATTGTTCATGGTTGAATAAAAAAAAAAGGACAAAAAATAAGATGAAATGGATTAATGAAATGGGTAATCTAGGTAACACATTATTTGTGGGGTTATTGTTTTCCTTTCAATAAAAAATTACTTATCACATTCATTTAATTGGAGCAATATGCTGAAAATTCATAGTATAAGACAGTAAAGTGCTAAAATTGATAGTGTAGGGGACAAGTTGCTAATTGAACATAGTTCAAGGGCACGGGAGGTGTATATATAGGTTATTAATTTATAGAGGTTCCAAAGTTTTAATTTATAGTGATTTTACTATATACTTAAATTATCTGCTAGGGCAAAATTTAGTGACCTGTGGAGCGCTCTTAGAAAACCTCTTTGCAAGTAGTTAGAGAGGTTCAAATCTTAGACTTAGTAGTTGACAATGGGCATGATATCGGCAATCAGGTTAAAATATTATTGAGGAAATAGTTATTTGGACTTCTTATAAGTCACAATGCTAATGTATTTGTAAGTCTAATTTCTATATCTTTTTATTTTTTTTTGACCAGTACAGTAGGGTTATGTGAAATTGTGTATCTAATATACTGCCTTTTTTCTTATAAGTATATGATTCAATAGAATTATGATTAAATATTAATTTTGTTGCATCAGTGTAAATGGGTCAGTCAAAGTGCAAATGGAACCATTAACAGGCCCATGTACACCCCTCCCTATCACTAATGTAGGGGGTGTGCAAAATTAAAAAATTTTGATTTACCGACCGAATTCGAATTGAATTCGAAATTTTCGAAATCGGTAATTCGGAATTCGATACTGAAATCAGAATTTTCGATTTCGAATTATGTGAATTTGGTTCGAATTCGGTAATGGAGTTTTTGAAATCGGAAATCGAAATCTAAATTTTCGATTTCAATTTCATTTTATAATATATATATTAATATTTATTTATTTATACATATAATAATATTTTTTATTTCAATTTCTTTTTATAATATGTATATTAATACATATTAATATATATAATAATATTTTTATAATATATTTATATATAATAATATTTTTTATAATATATGCAATATAAAATTTATATTATATAACAATGCCTCTAACAAAAAAGAAAAAAAAGGTAAAAAAAGGTTTCCAAATTCGATGAATTCGGAATCGAAATCGAAATTGAAATTGGTGAATTCGAAATCGAAATCAATCGGTAATTCTTGTGCCAAAATTTCGAAAAATTTCGAATTACCGATTTCGAATTCAATGCACATCCCTACACTACTGTATAAAAATTCATTTTCTAGCTTCTTGAGCAGTCCAACTAATTCATTCATTAAAATGACAGTATGAATGTATCATGCAAGCCATCAACGGTTACATGAGAAAGCATCCCACAAAACAACTTTAGCAGGTCAAGAACTACTAAGCTACTGCATATTTCCAGAACCGATAATTATTGGCAGAGTCTCACGGCGAAGAACAGCTTCATTCGACTTTTTATTTCTTTCTGCTGCATTTTACTTTGTCCCTTTTTTTTCTAGTTGCAAACAGGAGAGTTTTTTGAATTTAGGATTTCTGAAACAAAACTTGATAGATATCTCAACAATGAAAAGCATTTCAGAAGGTCTAGCAATGCTTTAGGAACCCACTGTGGTTCTCAATACGTCTAAATAATGCCTATGATATGGAGAGATATGAAATGAAACATACACCACAAATCTCCAATAGGAATGGTTTATCAGTATTGTTAAAGGTGGAACAACATGAATGCAATTTAAGATGAATACAAAAAATATGAGATTATGGCTTGATTCTCATTGGTAATGATCATATTGTCTTTCCTTCAGCTGATTATTGATTAATTAGTGCTGAAATTTTCTCTATTTAAACATGAAAAACCATTTGTAGTCCTGCAGAACTTATTAGCAGGAAAAAAACAAACGACCAAAAGAATTGCTTTCAAGGAAAAGCAGGAGAATAACAAGAATAAAGGAGAAAGGGTCGCGACCCCAAAATTGCGACCCCGTTTGAAAGGTGGATTTTTTGAGTATTTATTTAAAATTTTACTATCGAAGTTGTAAAAAAATTTTTAGGATGAAAAACTTTTTTCTTTCTTTTTCTTTCTTTCTTTCTTTCTTTTTTCTTTTCTATCCTCTCTTCTTCTTCTCCCTTCCCCCTCCCCGACACCTCTGCCTCTGACGTAGAAGAACCAGCAGCCATGGGAAAATTTTTTTTTTAGCTTTTTCTCTCCCCCTCTTCTCCCTCTCCCTCTCCCTCTCCCTCTCCCTCTCTCCCTATCCTCCCCCTCCCCGTCGCCCTTCAACGCCAGAATAGGTGAAGCCATGAATTTTATTTTTTTTGGCTTTTTCTCTCCCCACTCTCATCCTCCCCCTTTCCGGCCACCCTTCCCCTCCCCCTAGTTGCGATCTGGTCGTGCAGCAGCCTGCAATTTTTTTTTTCCTTTCTCTTCCCCTCTTCTCCCTCTCCTCTCCCCTCCCCCTCGCACTCCGACTTGTATTAGAACTTGAAGCCATGGGATTTTTTTTTTAGCTTTTTCTCTCCCCCTCTCCTCCCCTCCCCCGCCACCCTCCCCCTCCCGCTAGCTGCGATCTGGTCGCAGCCCCCCTCCCCCTTTGCGATCTGGTCACACGACTAGATCGTAGCTAGTAGGAGGGGGAGGGAGAGGGGAAGAGGGAAGAGGGAAGGGGAGGAGAAGGAGAGGGGGTGAGGGAGGGAGAGAAAAAAAAAGAAAATGAAGGCCGGTACTGATTCCGGTGCCGGAATAGGTGTCGGCGCCAAGAGCGAAGGTGGAGTTGGTGGCTGGCGACCGGTGACGTGGTAGGTTGGGTGAGGGAGGAAAAAGAAGAAAAGTTGAAAGGAAATTTTTTATGTATTAGATTTGAAGTGTGTAAATTAAAAACTTTAATAAGTTTTTTGGGGTTTCTGTAGCAAAAGTTGTTAAAAAACTAGTAGCATACAAACTTGCAAAAAACTTGAGGTTCCAAACAGGGTCTGCATTTTATAAACAAAACCATAAATAAGATAATATGCACAAACAGAAATTTCCAGTTGCTCCACAGACAATTTACAATTGTAAATATCACTATATACGCCAGAATTAAAGACAAGATGTCAATCAATGTTTCAACCATCTCTTTCTCCACTTTTCAGTCCCTCATTTTCTTCTTTTCTAGGACTTCTTCCACGGAGCAACACGCCGCCCATAGTTCGGCTAGTTGAACATCACCAGGAATTGGTGGCATTTGTCACCCCAATAGTGATAGCTATTAATGCTAGTATCGACTGTGCGGTTTGGAAAAAAAAAAAAAACACTTCGTGAGATATGGTTATTGCCTGGCCTTGCAAAAACTATGTATGTTTTAAGAAAATTGGGGAATGTTTTAAGACAACAAATTAATATGTAAATTCAGAGAAATAAATACTTTGATAAGATTGTAACAAGACTTGAGATGCAGAGAACATGACAAGTTCAAAGATAAAACTTGAGACATTTCCAACAAGACATGGCCCAAATGCATAGCTGATTTGTTAACCAAACAACTGACCTTCACACTCATCCTTATGATCCTCATTTCTATGATTCTAATAATTTTCACTTACTTGTAGGGAACAACATTTGATGTCATATAAATGTAACTCCAATAATACAAAACCTGGCCCTACTATGACTGAGATTGCATGATGTCTCAATGCAATAAAAAGTCGACACACAAATAAATCATATCAAAAGCTCCAGCAGAAAGAGAAGCACCAAAGAGTGTCATGCATTAGTAAGGACAAATAAGACAAAAGTCCAGTCATCTGCAAAACAATCGAACACCAACAAAAATAATTTAAAAAAAAAAGATGATAGGTTCCCCCCCCCCCCCTTTTTTGGGTAACGGATGCTAAAAGTACACAATTGTTTAGTCAATTTAGAAAACCTATTCAACCTTCTAGTCTTACATGCAGAACAATTAAGATTCTACCCATAAGTTAGCTAATACAAAGAAAAAATGCAAATTTAAATCCATATTCTTAAAGACCATAACAATGTTAGCTTGGTCGGACTATTGTTGTTTAGTATTAGTGGCTCTGAAGGACTAACATATTCAGTAACCAGACAAAATTACACATATAGCATTATATAAATGTAACATAATTACAACGAACTTGAAGATACAAATAAACATTATTTCAGTGGAGGACAAATTGGTACCAAAAAGGAAATCAATCTTAAGAGAGAAAAAAACTTACAGCCAATGTGCAAGCGATTAAACCAGGTTTTTCTCTGTAATCCAATCGAACACACAACAAAAGAAAAGCTCCAATGTACCAGGGAATGGCACCAAAGAAAAAGCCAAAAATGAACCTGGTAAGAAGATATTAAAGCAGAATGAGACATACAGTTGACTAGAAACTTAGAAATACCAATTACTTCAACCAAATACCATTGATGCTACAGTACAATTAAAAACTTAGTAGCACCTTAATCTTTTGTCACGACTCAATGATGGAAATCTAGCTTGGATTTAATGATATCCCATGTCCTAAGGTTCGAAAAACTGCCTATATCTGTTGGCCTAACAATAGGTAAACAAGAATCCCAAAAAATAGTTTTCATAAAAATTCAGTACAAAAGAAGTATGCAGAATATATGCAATGAATAACATCTTTTAAATGATTATATACCTACATAACCCAATAGATTTTTTACGTAGATAAAAAACACAAGAACCTACCCAGAAAGCATTTTATCTCTCATATTTCCTCGTGTGCTTTTAACATTCTTTTTGTTGATTACCATTCTCTTCCAGATAAAACAGGATATAGGGGAAAACTCTTATGCATAGATTTATTTTAGCAATAGATGTTGTCTTTCTTCTTTGACGTTATTTCATGCAGTACATTTCAAGTGTCCATGTCTAAAAACAAAAAGTTTATCCTTCTATCTCCATAACAAGCTAATCCAGTAACCATGCACATTAATTCATTTTCTAAAGGTCTTTCAAGTACATACTTTTTCTAAATGGTGTTAACTGAACATTCAGTGACCAAAATATTAGGTAAGGGGCACGGCTTTAGTAGGGCTTCATTCAGAAAGTTAAAGTACACTTCAAATGCCACTGTCATCTTCTAATACTACTTTGAAAGTTCAAAGCTCGTTTTTCAAAACAAGGAACAAGATATGCCATGAATATGAGGTTGTAATGCAACTATGGTCTTTTTCAGCACTCAAAAACTTGATTTATGTTCGCTGATCTGGACAAGACATTTCACATTAAAATGGTGTCAGTCATATTTCCAATTCACGATAACTCGTGTTGTCGATAACTCATGTTGTCGTTGATGTGACTGACTCAAAATCTTTTACCTAGGAATAAATGGAATACCATCAAAGTGGTCCTCATAAAAATTAGAGAAAGGGGGTGGACTAAAGCCTAAGCTAAGTTATTGTGTGTAAAAAAGATGCTTCCAGTTTCAAAAGATCACTTCTGGAGAAAACCTACATCAGTAAATCAATTCTTATATAAGCATCTTTAAATGCTTGAAAAGCTCCATAATTTATATCTCGGTTTGCAGAATGTCTACCAACTGAAAATTTTTAACAATAAAAAACACAAAAGTCCTTTTCTAGATATTTAGACCAACCCTTAGGATAGACTACTTAATCATGCAGGACAAATTACCATTAGATGCAAACCCACAGCTAACCAACCAATATTCAGACTTTCTAGAAGTACTGGGTTTGATGATACACCATTAGTGAACAGACAGTGGATCTGGACTCAGAATCGAAGCATGTGAATTTAGCGTTCCCTATGCTACTAAAGCCAAATAAGGATATTCTAGAATTTCAAAGCATACCCCCATTACAATATATATAAATGTATACGCTGTCCTCAAAGAATCAGCAACACACAGATGGAGGCAAACAAAGAGTCAAAATGGAAACTTACAAGAACCATCCAATTCCAATACCACAGCAAGGCAGCCGATGCTCTCTTATAGGCATCCCTTCGACAACAGCATAACCTATACAAAACAAAATATTAAAACAACAAAAGATACAGACTTTAATATACAAAGAAATTGCTACAACGCCAACCAAAGAACTAATCAATTAATCTTTCACTTCTACAATGTTTTTTCATGATGGAAAAAATTGAATATATGAAATGATCCAAAGATCACAGGCCTAATTGGAAGAATTGACAAAAAAACCCTAATAAATAAAGAAACAGGTAAAATTTGCGAGTTTAATCGTATACTAAGAATACCGGGAACGACGCCTTGGTAAGTATGATGATAACAATAAGGAGGAGAAATGGTGGTGCCAGGGGGAGGTATGGGTTGAGGGAAACCGAAGACCGGCTGAGACGGCGGAGGTGGAGGAGAAGAAAACGGTTGTTGAGAAGTGTTGACTCCTTGGAAAGTACCATAATGATATTGGCGATCAAAAACCTGCTCGTCGTCTCTCCTGGCGGAGGTGGAGATGGTGATCGAGACAGCTTCGTCCTTCTCTGCTCCTCTGCTCATTTTCGCGATTGAGGATACAGAAGCAACGACGTTTCTGCTTGGTGGCGTTGATGTCGACGGCTATTGGGAGATTCTAGAATGGCCTGGGTTGGCCATGTTTTGTTTCTAAATTTGGGCGGCTTGTACCGTGATTTAGCTTAGCTGTTAAGCTTGTCCGTAGAACGAATAATTGAATTAATGCTTCGTTAAACATATAAAACTCAAAAAAACAAATTTCCTTTTTGTTTGTTAGTTTCCCTTGTCATCTTTTACTATATTCAAATTCTCACTTTAATCTCTAAATTATAAAATTATTTTCTTTTAGTCCCTCTAGCTAAAAATTATTCCTTGACTCTACTTTAGTCTCTAGAATATAAAATTAGCCCTATTTTAGATTTTATTTCAGCACGGCAGATTTTATATTTTAGAAACTAAATTATCCTATTCTAAAGTTTATTAACCGAGGTGAGGTGAGAATTTGAGTATAATTGAAGATGTGAAGTAACGGTTGATGCCATTCCACATTCGATCAAGATGCAATGTCAGCCCTCGTTTCAAGCATTTATTGACTCTCTTTTTAATATTCTTTTCAATTTTTTGTTCGCAGTACTTGTTTGCTATTGATTTCTTTCATCAGTATTTAGATTAGACAAAAATCACTGTTCGATTGAACTGGATTCCCAAATACCTTGACTCGTCAACAGCTTCTTGTGGTATGAAAGAATCTAAGAACAACAAGACATTTTTCTTTTTCTAAAGAAAAAAAAAGGAATGATAAAGGAATTTTTTCTTTTTTTTTTTCCTTTCTTTTCAAGATAAAGGGACAGTTAGAATGATAGTAGGCCAATAGGCAATAAGTGCACAATGATTTTTTCTTCAAAATGGTACGCGTTTAATAATGTAATTAAGACGTACATACAACTATGAAAAATGATTAAAAAAATTCTCATGAAAATTGTTTCTACATTTTATCAACGAATATGTACCAAATTATTTCACAAACAATGAATTCCTACCAGCATACATGATACAACTCCTCAAATGCTTTTTCATAAATTAAATTTTGAAATCATTCAGTCGATTAATGATTTACAATTCATGTGCAATTTTGTACACAACATTATAAGAAAAATTTGAGAAGGACTTACCTTTAAGAGGTGTAGATGCAATTATTCAAAATCTTGATCTTTACAATAAAGTCCTCAGAGACCTTCTTATTCCCACAGGATACCCCCGAAATCAATTTCGCAAATAAACCACAGAAACACGCTGCTGGATCAGTATCTCTCTTTTGCACACGCACACAATAATCTGGGAGGGGAAGAAATGGGCGAGGACGGAGGAGAGGCGAAAGCTGCGGCGGGGGCGGGGGCGAAGAGGGTGGTGGTAGAATCACTAGGATGGTTGACGGAATCCTCAATTATGCCCAAAAAGCACAGGGCAATTGAGGGCGTTGGAGCGTCGTCGATATTGGAGCTCAAAGCTCAACTTTACAAGTCTCAGGAGGAATCCAAGAGGGACCGCCTCTCAAGGGACCCCATATATACTTCCGACCACCACCATCTCGAAGTCCACCGTGCTAAGAAGAAGATCACAGCAGACGATCCTTTTTCGCACAGAAACTCCGGTGTTCAAGCACGCGCTGCCAAGTAAGAGAAAATCAACACTATCACTTTCTTTCCTTTCCTTTGTTGGGGGGGGGGGCCGTTATTTTGGAGAAGCATTAGGGTTTGCGGATTTTTAATAGTTATGGGGTATTTGAGTTTGAGAGATGTAAAATTGGGTAATTTGGAATGGAGGATTTTTATAATTCTTTTGTCTCATCAAGGAACTTGATTAACTTTTTCTATTAATTAGGAGTTTTGTAGGGTTTAAGAACTTGAAACAGCATCTCTGCCCTTGATTTGATAGCTATTCTATCTATTGAATGAAATAGGGATTTTTTGGTCTAAGTTGGGGGCTGCTTATGTTATTGAATTGGAGATATGCAATTTAACGGTGCAATTGTTTGACATAGTTTGATATATACATAAAGGAAGGGAATTTGGAGCTTGGATTTGAGAATCTAATGCTTGGCAATTATAAGAAGATATTTATTGTTTCTTTATTTATGTTGGATAAGCTTATGACAATTCATATGCCCTGAATTCATTAGGAGACAAGTCTTATTGGCATGTGAATTCAAATTTGATCATTTAGAATTTAGGATTCATGAATTTAGAGGAGAGGAATTGTCAATATTAGGATTCATAGTCTGTTATCCTTTTCAATATTAGAGCATATATGCATTAAAAAATGAAAAACCAGAAAGCGCGCAACTCAGAGATTTCTGTATTGAGTGCATTTTTGTTTCCAATTAATTTCTGTCTGATCTTTTCTGGTAATGGAGTGTAGGAACTTCATTTCTGTAAAAATAGTGCTCTATGGTAGTCATTAGCTATCGGTATATAGTGCATTGTAGTCTGTCCTTCATCTTTTTTGTACATTAGCAGTCCGGCCCAACCGCACTACTTTCTTCTCCCTTTTCCCTCCTCTTTAAAGCAGTGCACATAGTTTTATGCTTATGTTTCAGTTGTCATATGCTTCTATGTTATAATTACTCCATTTTAAGCGTATGTTTTGTGCGTGTGTATGTAAGACAGAGAGAGAGAGAAGGGGGAAGGGAGAGAGTGAAAGAGAGATCTGGGTTTTAATGTTGCATTTTGGTCACTTCATACTTTTCTCCATTATCATAGATCACCCAATTAAATTCAACAATTTATGTCTTTCTGAATCATCAATAGGGATAAGCTGGAGTTAAAAGCTGTCAATGATGGATCAGCAAGCTATGCAGCATTGGAGAGGAAAGCTGAGTTGTATGAGAAGCTGGTCAGGGGAGAACTTTCTGACGAGGAAGATAAAGAGAAATATTGTGTTGATTTTTTCAGGAAGGGACTTGAGCATGATGAGTTGCAGCAGCCTCAAGGGAATACATCTTCTAACACGGAATGGCACGATGAAGATGGTGGAGATGATGGTTCTGTGGTACCTATCATTAGACCTGTTGGACTTGGACAGACTGCTGCCACTGTGGACAGAAGTGAACATAAGCGTTTTGTCATGTAAGTTCAGAAATTCCTAAGCAATTTATCTTCTAAGTTGGAGGAACCGCTAAATGTGTTATATTCACAGCTTAAGTAAATTGAGAAGAAAACTAGATCATTAGATTGCCTGTTGATTGTGGATCCTTCTGTTCTGCAAGCAGTAATCTTTATAGGGGAGTACATGGGATAAACTTTTATTAACATTTTTGAGTTTCATGATTTTTTTTAGCCTAAAGAAACTGAAAATAGAGTCTACTCCAACTCCCCCTTCTGGATGGTAGTGATGCGTCCAATACTAAAAGTTAAAAGCAGAAAATTTGAAACAAATAATTAATGTTTCTCTTTTTTGCTGGTTGGTGTATAGTTGGTTACTTGGTATGCCAACAATACACACAAATCTAATTTAAAGATTAAGGCGTGGTTTCTTCACTTTAGAAAGTTAAAGACCAGCATAAACTGTATTCTTCCGTCAAAGTATTAGAATGAAAAACGGGCCCTTCTCTTGGGTCCTGTCTGCCAACTTCATTCAGGAAGACAACTGATTCTCTGATGGTTCAACAAGCTTTTGCATGTATGTGTATGTTACTTTTAGGATGCTTCAAATAAAATAAGCATTTTTCCCGAATTACTCAAATTTGCTGATTTTTTAAATTGAGTAGCACTTTGGAGATGCTTTTTCAAATGGTTTTTTATTTTCTTTTCAGTTCTTTAAGGAGAAAGATGTCTTTTCAATTTTCCCACAGCTATTTGCCTACCACTTTTATTTAAATTTTAAACAAATGGATGAAGCCCCATGTATAGGTACTTTTGTTTTAATTGCTGTAACAAGGCTAAATTGTAGTTTTTGTTCACAACTTAAAAAGGATGGAGTAATGATTGAGACCCCAATGATGGAGGCAATTAAACGATCCAGCGGAATGTGTTCTGCGCAATGTTCCTTTTGTCAACACCGGTTGTAATTAATGTCGCAATTTATACAGAGGATTTTTATAATTGTGCTTATAAGAAGTATGATGTCACTCTGCAAACAAATAATGTTATAAGAATTACATTTGAAACATGTGAGTTTAATTGCAGTATAGGATTTGGCTAGGGAATGGGGCATCCACGATCCTGAGATATTGTTCATGTTTGAAGATTAAAATGCATAAAATATGGTTGCTTAAAGGAAATTGCAACAAATATAGAAGCACACACCCATTAAAATTTGGTTGCTTTTAGAACACTGAGGGAGTATAAATTTTGTAAGAGCTCCTTGAACTTTTTAACTTATTTTCCTAATGTGTTCACAGAAGAAATTCAAGATTGCGTTTCCCCTCTTCTCTGCTTTGTTTGCACGAATATGTATTCATTTTTCTGGAAAGGGTCCTTTAGCCGGGGGGAAAAGGGGTTATATTGTTCAATATTGTATTCTGGGGCTTTGAGTAGCTGCCTCTTTTTTTTTTTCTTTTTTTTTGCCTTGCCTAAGATTTTATATCTTGGAAGCTATTATGGAAGATGGTGCTCTTTAATGCCGAGTTGTATCCTTATTCTGAAAGCAGTGACAAATAATTTGGCAGTAAATCTGGGGAAATGGGGGAAGCCGGGAGGGGGGGGGCTCTGTTTTAAAATAGATGTTGTACTTTCACTTTCTTAATAGGATGTTTCAGTTGTAAATTCATTGAAATGCTTTGCTTAGTTATAAATTAGTAGCTAACTTGTTCCCTAGCTTTTCGTTGAATTTAAACTACCTAGAATAAGGTTTCAGTGTTTGCATTTGGGTTTGTACAACTGCGCTCTTGAGCATGCACTTATAATGTGTGGCATGTTAAATTAGGACATTTGTTTTGGACTGGTCTGTACGGTATTTTGTGAAGTTCTTGGGGAGAGATGTGCGATGCTGAATTAGAAGTTTTGTTATAATGAGGAAAAGCAAAGGAACAAACAGAGAAAAATGAATCAAAATTTAAGATGCTGTAATTTTTTATGTTCCCTGGTGAATGTTATTCGTGAAATAGTATGGCGTATATATACAACTTATCTTTTGATATTGTCCTTTACTGTTCACATTTTCAGTTATCTTTCAGTGGTTGATTGCAGCCAACGAGGATGA